AAAAAAAAATTTTTTTAAACTGGACTATGGTGATAATTGCACAACTCTACAAATATACTACACTATATACTTACAACGGTTTTATTTTGTAATATGTACATTATACCTCAATAAGGCTGTTGAAAAAATAGTCTAATAATATTAAGTCTTTATAAAAGTATAGACTAGAGTGTGGAACAGTGGTTTTCAACTATTTATTTGTTTATTGTTTTTAGAGACAGAGTCTCACGTTGTCACCCTTGGTAGAGTGCCATAGCGTCACAGCTCACAGCAACCTCCAACTCCTGGGCTTAGGCGATTCTCTTGCCTCAGCCTCCTGATTAGCTGGGCCTATAGGCGCCCACCACAATGCCCAGCTATTTTTTTGTTGCAGTTTGGCCAGGGCCAGGTTCGAACCCACCACCCTCGGTATATGGGGCTGGCGCCCTACTCACTGAGCCACAGACACCACCAAGCATCCATCTTTTTATAGACTTCTAGTGAGTAGCAAAATGAAATATAGACACATGCACAGATATGTTTTTAAAAATCCTAAAATTAAAAAAAAATCGTAAACATAATGAAAAAGATCAATTGCAGAATATATAGCATGATACCATTTAACATAAGGTACAAAAATGCAACTCTGACAAATTTAAGGTTAACAAACAAGTACTATTAAAATATAAGCATGGGACAAGTTCAGGGTTATGGTTACAGGAAACAGAAATTACTGCACTGGAAAGGAGCTTCAACACTAGTCGGAAATGTACTATTAAGTTGATAGGTGAGTTCTGGGGCTTGCTTTATTATGTCATACTTTATATGCAGCATTCTGGTTGGACCATATATAATAAAAAAGGGAGAGGCCTTCCAGCTACAGAAACCAAACCTGGCAGATAACGTAAGTAGAGTATACAGTCCTCAAAGGTATCCTGGAGCCTATGCAATTCGGCTTTCACAGGAAACCTTACCTTACAACGCCCTCGGTACTGTCTTCCAACAGGGCCTCTCCCTCTCTGTTGATCCTTAAATCAGTATTAAAGATTCAAGTCATGCCCAAACTAAATAAGAAAAATTGAAAATTCCTCTCTGGCAACTACTTCCCTCCAGTCTTTAGATAAACTTAAAAAATATTTATGCAGCCTTCATTTCCTCAGACCTCATCAACCTGGATTCTGTTTCTACCATTCTGCAAGACCTGTTTTTGCTAAGTCGGCAGTGTCGATCCCGCCCTTTAAAGCTATGCATCTTTCACAGCTCTTGTCTTGGCTGACTTCTCAGCGGCCCTCAGCACACAGGCAACACTAACACCAAACTTCCTTTCTCTCCCATTTCGCCAGCTGCTTATTTACCAGCAATTGGCCCATTAACTTTTCTCTCTTCCGTTTTGAGCACCTATAAAACAGGCGTAAAGGGACCTTCTTCACAGAGATGCTATGTGATTTAAATGACTTAATAGGTACAAAACACTCAGAATGATGCCTGCCCCTAATACGTGTGCTCTAAGTATTTCTCAGGCATTATTATCCAAACGTTAAATGTCAGAATTCCTCAGGACTCCTACTCACCCCAGACAGTCTCATCATCACTGATTCACTTAGCAGGAATACACGCAACGCTTCCCTAAATTAAACTTCTCTGTGCTCCAGACCCATTCACTTAAAGGCCTACTACACACTGGTGTCTGGAGGCACATTCAAATCAACCATACAAAATTGACCTCTTTATCCTACCCCAGCCTCCCGGAACCTCCTTCTCCCGCGGTGGTTCCAAGTTCAATGGATGGTTTTGACCTCATCTCCAAACCTTTCTTCTGCAATCAAAGTATTTTTAAAACTAGAAATATGTAGTTGTTCTCTGTTTAAAATGGATCTATACCATTTCTGGTGCCCTTAAGAAAAAGCAGTCTCCAAGTGGCAAAGACATGCCCAGGGTGGCCTTCCTCTCTGGCGTCTTCTCTCCGTGCACACTGGACTTCTCTGCCCAGCCTGCTGCTCTTCTGCCTTCCTGCTTTTCTTTTTTTTTTTTTTTTTTGAGACGGAGCCTCAAGCTATCCCCCTGGGTAGAGTGCCATGGCATCACGCTCACAGCAACCTCCAACTCCTGGGCTCAAGCGAGTCTCCTGTCTCAGCCTCCCAAGTAGCTGGGACCACAGGTGCCTGCCACAATGCCTGGCCATTTTTTGGTTGCAGCCATCATTGTTGTTTGGCGGACCCAGGCTGGGGATTCGAACCCGCCACCTTAGGTGTATGTGGCTGGCGCCTTAGCCGCTTGAGACACAGGCGCCGAGCCCTTCCCCCTTTTCAATAGCGAAGTCCTAGTCATCTTTTAGGTCTCCACTGAAACACTTCCTTCCTCAGGGAAGCTATCAACTCTCCTGACTAGGTTAAACACCTCATCACAATCCCTGGTCCTGTCCCTTCACATTCTCACCTCCATCATATCTATACTTGTTTATTCCCTACCTCTCTTCCCCATCACAGTATAAACTCCACAGTGGTCAGGATCACACCTGCCCTCTGCATTTTAAGCACAGCACCTCCTAGTGTTGGCACTTCATATTCACATATTTTGTTGAGTGAGTAAAAGGTAGCTCAGAAGATGATCTTATAGACCCTTGAATATGCGAAAGATTCTGAAGAGGATTTAAAACTTTTGAGAAGACTCATATACTGATTGTTTCAAGAAAAGGACACTAGAGGCAATGAGACTGGTGAATTGAAAGTGAGGTCTCAAAGTAAAACATCAACTACAAAGCTTAAGTGTAGGCAGCCTGCCCTGAGTAGGCCGATGGCAGTGGAACTACAAAAGAGAGAGTCCATCCATGTGAGTCTACCAGAGATATACTAAATATAAAACAGGGTCAGAGTCTAGCAAAAAAGAATGGGTAACAAAAGTTACTTTTTTTTAAATTTCAGAATATTATGGGGAATAAATGTTTTGATTACATGAATTTGCTTTTGCCTAATTTTCTGTTGTTATTGTTGCAGTTGTTTTAGCTGGCCTGGTCTGGGTTTGAACCCGCTACCTTCAGTGTATGTGGCTGAGCCCTTTTGCCTAATTCTTTAATAACGCTTCAGTGGAACCAAAAACATCAACCGCCCCTTGTCTATTGCTTCAGAACTCATTTGAATTTTGGTTCTCTTGTTGCAAGAAAATAAGGCCCCATGGAGAGGAAGAAACACCCAAAACACCCGTGTTTAAAGGAGGAAGGGTTTTATTTCAGCTGGGAGAGATGATAGACTAGAGTCCAAAAATGACTGAGCTCCCAACGGCTCTGCCCTTTCCCTTTTTTCTCCAGCCAAAGGTTCTTTGTCCACGGGTGCCCTTCTCATTGGTCAGTATGAATCAAATTGGAGAAGGCAGGCATGGGCTTTTGCAGAAGCAGAAGCAAGTGTTAGTTTCAAGGTCCCAGGAAGTTAAGTTTCTACAAATTCCTAGGAGCTGAATCACCACAGGGAAGACTTTGCAAGCGTGTCCTTGGGCTCCTGTGAGAAGCTGTTTATTCTTTCAGACCTTACTCTTCCTGGGTATCCTCTCTCACTCCATTTCAAATCCAGAACTGAGCCAAAATATATTAAAGTTACACATCTGACTCTAAAAACAACTTCATCAGACATTCCTCGACTTGTAAGAGAAATCTAGGTTTATATCACAAAGTCATAAAGTAACCTTGACAGGTTACTTAAGAGTTGCTATTTCAAAGAGGCTGTAAGAGTCACATAGACCATAGAAAGTTTTATTTACAGTATTACAAGTACCTGTTGAGCTAAAAAATAAAACCACACAGAAGTTATAACACTTCTCACAATAATACAGTGCTTGAAAGAAAATTGATAG